TCACGAAGACTAATTGTTTTCCATGAATTTTGGTTTTCTTCATTCGTCTTTGCTCTGGATGAGGAGAGACCCATCTTTGCATTTAGATGGCAACTTGCTAGCTTTTAAGATCCCAGTTGCTACTCGCCAAAGTAGGAGGTGGAACAATGTTTTGTATAGTATGTTATGCCAATTGAGCTTGATGCCCCCTGCGTCATTATCACCAGTTTTTAGGTGAGGACTGTTTGTCTGTGGAAGTACTTCACCAAAAATTTCATCCACAGTTTCTTCCATTTGGTGGAAACAAGTGCAAAGGGAAGTAAAGATTTAGCATCAGGCTTGAAAAAAATTATATAAAAGGGATAAAACTCTGGGCCTCTCTCAATTTCCCAAAGTTACAACCATTCAGAGAAATGGAAAGGAAGTAGGGCTGATTCTAGGTCTTGAGCAGAAAGTGTATAAAGTAAGCTTGGGTTGTCAAAACAAGGAAGTACTCCAGGACCAGTGAGGAAGTGTCAAAAGAGCTGGTGGGAGGGGCAGGGTGCAGCTTAGATGAGTTTCACTAGCTAAATTGGGGACAATTTGACCACCAGCAAGAACGATGGTAATGGAGGATAATACATGGAATTTAAAAGCCCTAAATCAGTAATACTAAAATACACTTGATTCAACAGTGAAACAACAAAAAAATGCAGATGAGGAATGGGGAGAATGCCAGCTAATAAATGAAGAAGTCCTGATAGTACTAAAGAATCACTTACCACTCCTAATGTAACAAGGAGTAATGTGACAATTGACACAATAAGCACAACTATAGACTCAAATATGCTAATGACCATGAAGAGGCACAGGACTGGGAAACGTTTTGTTATATATAAGGCCACTATGAATCAGTGTCAACTGATGGCAACTAACAACAACCACACAATATAACGATAAGAGTCATTGAAGGAATGTGTGAAAGGTTTTAAGGTACAAGTTATTCATACGGCCTTAAGGAATCATCCCCACAGGTCATTTACCAATTACCAAGAAGAAAATTGTACTATTATAATGGAAAGATGGAGTCACTGCTTTTTCCAAGGGATCAAATTGGGAGCTCTGGTAGTGCACGACCTAAGGCACTTGACTGCTAACCAGAGGACTGGCGGTTCAAACCCACCAGCCACTCCTTGGAAGGAAGATGGGGTAATCTACTCCCGTAGTGATACTGCCTCAGAAACCCAAGGAGGGGTCACTATGAGTCGGGGCCAACTCGAAGGCAAATAACAACAACAACAAATAGCAAGAGGGATTCCCTGGGTGGTGCAAAAAGTTAATGAGCTGACCAAAAGGTTGAAGATTCAAGTCCACCCAGAAGTGCCTAGAGAGAAAGGCCTGGTGATCTACTTCTAAGAAATCAGCCACTAAAAACTTTACAGAGCACAGTTCTATTCTGACCCACATAGGGTTGTCATGAGTATGGCAACTGGCTTAATAGGAAAAGAATCTAAGATAGGTGTCTCCTATGAGAAGTAAGAGGTGCACAAAACCTCCTACATGGTATTCCTGACAAAATGCTCAAATTGAATCTAATTACGAGGGAAAAAATCTGACAAATCCAGAATAATGGATAAGACAAGTGTCTAGGCTTTTTACAAAATTCAGTGACTTAAGAAAAATTGTGGAGGAGGCTATTTTAGATTTTAAAATGTAATAACCAAATATAGATCATGGATTGAAAAAATAATAAAACCTCTATAAAAGACATTTGGAAGACAATTGGGGAAGTCTGAGTATCAAAAACCAAAATCAAACCCACTGCCATCAAGCTGTTTATGACTCACAGTGACCCCCATTGGGTTTCCCAGGTGGTAAATCTTTAAGGAAGTAGATTGCCCCATCTTCCTTCTATGGAGCAGCTGGTGGGTTTGAACTGCCAACCTTCTGGTTAACAGGCAAATGCCTTAAGCACTGTGCCACCAGGGCTCCTTTTTGAACTATTTATTAAACAATATTATGGAATTATTTTTTTTAGGTTTGTTTATGAATGTAGAAAAATGTC